TTTTTTTTGCCATGCATTGGTCATAGAGCTCTTTGTGGCGTTGCCTCAGATGTTGAACTAGATTTGTTGCGCTAAGTTCACACGTACTCCGTCTGCAGTGCGTATACAGTATGCGGTGCAGAAGCAGCATGGACTCATTTTGCTTTCGCACAGGACGCGTTTGCAGTCCGCTCCTGATCCGCGGCTGTTTACCACAAACGCAACATTTATCCATTATTTTGATTTCAAATCCAAACATTGTTTCTGAAAATGCTTTTTCAGCATTATGATTCTCTTTTATCACAGTACAGTAATACAATCTTTCATAAACATTCACATTTAAGCACAATAAATATAACTTTGTTTTAACTACCACCACGAGTGCCATCTATTATTGCCTTGTTTATCTAAAAGTGCACTTTTCCTTGTTTTAAATCTAGCCAAAAAGTTGTGTGTTGACTGTGAAACAGTAGACTTTAATTATATGCATTTATGGTGTACAAAATTACCGAGTCAACCCATGTTAATTGTTACCGCGAATAATGTGCTGTGCGTGCAGCACATCAGAAATAGATTCCGTGCGGAAACAATCGCTGCACTGCTGCAGACGCACCGCTCCTGGAGCGCACTGCCGGAAAATTTCCGTGTCAACCCATGTTAATTGTTACCGCGAATAATGTGCTGTGCGTGCAGCACATCAGAAATAGATTCCGTGCGGAAACAATCGCTGCACTGCTGCAGACGCACCGCTCCTGGAGCGCACTGCCGGACCGCAATCGCATGCAGTGTGAACGCTCTGATCTGTTAACATGGGCACGGACAAAATACCAAAAAGCACCACAGATGAAGTGTGTGAACCTGGTGTTACGTTTGTATGCCCGCCCGGTCTGTTCTGTTCTCGTGCTCCATTTAGGCACGCTGCATTCTGATTGGTTCGGATAGCATTGGAGGTCGGGGGCGCGGAAAATAATGCTATAAAGCGATTTAGAAATCGCGCATGCTCAAATCACGATTTTATGATGATTTCGATTAATCGCACAGCCCTACTACACACTTCCAAATTCTTAAGAATATTTAGATTATGGAAATTAAGTATCAAAATATTAGATACCTTAAAAAACTTGAATAAATAGTAAATAAACATTTTCTAACAAAAAGTGCAAAGTAACAAGTAGAAAAAAAGAAAAATGCACAAATAATTTTTCCCTGACCTTCTTTTCTCTGTAAATTAAGGCTGCACACTATTGCTGAAAAACACAATCACTACTTAGCAGTCAGATGACCGTATGCACAAAGGCACAGATCCCTAAACAAGGCCATATCTGCAGATGAAACTTTTTTTGTAGAAGCATTTTTTAAATTTGAACTGGCACCTCATGACTACATCACGTTATGTACGAGAAGCTGCAAAAGACACAGGCACAGGTGGAATGTACAAAACATGGTGACATAAATTTTTAAGTAAATAAAATGGGCGATATATTGCGTCTCCAAAAATGATTGAGGTCATGTACATATATTGCACGATAAGTCGATATATTGATTATTGGACCGCAATCGCATGCAGTGTGAACGCTCTGATCTGTTAACATGGGCACGGACAAAATACCAAAAAGCACCACAGATGAAGTGTGTGAACCTGGTGTTACGTTTGTATGCCCGCCCGGTCTGTTCTGTTCTCGTGCTCCATTTAGGCACGCTGCATTCTGATTGGTTCGGATAGCATTGGAGGTCGGGGGCGCGGAAAATAATGCTATAAAGCGATTTAGAAATCGCGCATGCTCAAATCACGATTTTATGATGATTTCGATTAATCGCACAGCCCTACTACACACTTCCAAATTCTTAAGAATATTTAGATTATGGAAATTAAGTATCAAAATATTAGATACCTTAAAAAACTTGAATAAATAGTAAATAAACATTTTCTAACAAAAAGTGCAAAGTAACAAGTAGAAAAAAAGAAAAATGCACAAATAATTTTTCCCTGACCTTCTTTTCTCTGTAAATTAAGGCTGCACACTATTGCTGAAAAACACAATCACTACTTAGCAGTCAGATGACCGTATGCACAAAGGCACAGATCCCTAAACAAGGCCATATCTGCAGATGAAACTTTTTTTGTAGAAGCATTTTTTAAATTTGAACTGGCACCTCATGACTACATCACGTTATGTACGAGAAGCTGCAAAAGACACAGGCACAGGTGGAATGTACAAAACATGGTGACATAAATTTTTAAGTAAATAAAATGGGCGATATATTGCGTCTCCAAAAATTATTGAGGTCATGTACATATATTGCACGATAAGTCGATATATTGATTATTGCGACAGGCCTACTCGTGAAAAGTGAGTAGTATCAGATAAATCTGATCTCATAACCTCAGGTTGCTCCAGGGTCACTCAGGACTGCAATAAGTCCAGCTGCTTATCGTTCTCAAGAGGGTTTCTGCATTTAGCCTATATGTCATGCTATCTTTGTTATAAGATGTGACTCTCTTTGTCCTCCAGGGAAGATGGGATTGGATGCATCTCAGTACCTTGTCCAGATAAGGTCCGGTCTCCCCGCATGGCATCTCTTTGGAAGGCTGTGAGCGGAAAGCTCCCCCAGTCCTGCCGCCTCTCCGCATCTCACCATCATTCATTCCTCTCCTGTCGTGCCTGCTATCGTGACCCATACTGGAGTCTTCATCCTGACAAAAATATAATCTGCATTTTTCTACAGATCTGCAGCAACACACATGAGCAGATCAGCACAGTGGTAACGACTATCTTACCGTAACGCTCATGTTTGAGAACTGCCGAGTCACAGGAGACACCCATGAGTCCCCACTGTTACCTTTAAGAGGGCTCTAAGGGACAAACCAAAGGGTTACTTAGGAGTTGATAGTTTCCCCAAGTCAAAAAGTCTTGGTGAGGTCAAAAAAAGCTCCCAACATACCTTAGCGTTGAGTCTCCTGGCCCCCTGGCCTTGCCCCCAGCCCCCAGAGTTGTATGTGTTGCTTTGAGATCCCCGACTGCCCCAAACACCAGCGCCACCGTCCTCTTCCTCCCAGCTGGAGTGTCGCGATACATTCGAGCCTTCGTCACCCCACCCCTCTTGCATAGACTTTGAACCTTAAGAGTAAATATGAAGATCAGCTCAAGTGGCACACTTGAAGAGTTTATGTAATTATGGCAGCCATAATCATGATTATTTTGCCAGCTAACTAATTTTGATAAGTCTTACACAGCATTAGGCCTATATTTAGATTTACTTCATTGCATCAAACGTTGCCATTTACAATGTTTTTGTTCAACATTGTAACCAATCACAAGCTGCGTTCCCATTAGACTTGTGCAAAACTTTTGCGATATCTTATCAATATCAATAAAAAACTATTGCGAAATGACGGCATTTCCATTTAGATTTATGCGACTAAAACTTAAATTTTTTCCTCTCGCGATAAGTCAAGGAGACGGGTACTGGTAGGTTTACATATAACGCAGCCACTGCACTAGCCATTACTTTTAATCGAAGGAGACGGAGGTGTGTATCTTTAGCAAAGCAGTGTGGAGAGCCGCTTCTGAAACACTTCTAAAACGTGCTGCAGGGCAGATGGTATAAACAAAAGCATTGACTAGAGTGGCCGTGTCAGATCCATAATGCACCGCAGACATGTGCAGGGTAAATTATCCAAGCATTAATTACAAGGAAAGTCCCTTATACTTGAGAACGGCCATATATAAGGTGTTTCTTGGAGGTTATAGTACGTTAAATAATGATCATGCGATTTTTTTACTTGACTTATTCGCGATAAGTCAAGGAGACGGGTACTGGTAGGTTTACATATAACGCAGCCACTGCACTAGCCATTACTTTTAATCGAAGGAGACGGAGGTGTGTATCTTTAGCAAAGCAGTGTGGAGAGCCGCTTCTGAAACACTTCTAAAACGTGCTGCAGGGCAGATGGTATAAACACAAGCATTGACTAGAGTGGCCGTGTCAGATCCATAATGCACCGCAGACATGTGCAGGGTAAATTATCCAAGCATTAATTACAAGGAAAGTCCCTTATACTTGAGAACGGCCATATATAAGGTGTTTCTTGGAGGTTATAGTACATTAAAGGGTTAGTTCACCCAAAAATGAAAATTCTGCCATTAATTACTCCCTCTTAATTAATAAGACCTTCTTTCATCTTCGGAACACAATTTAAGATATTTTTGATGAAATCTGAGGGCTCTCTGACCCTCCTATAGACAGCAAGGTTACTACCACGATCAAGGCCCAAAATAGTACCAAGATGATCGACAAAGTAGTCCATGTGACATCAGTGGTTCAACTGTAATGTTACGAAGCTACGAGAATATTTTTTGCAAAGAAAACAAAAATAATTACTTTATTCCACATGTTTGTCTCTACTGCGTCATTTGTGGATGCACGTTCATGACCGTACCATGACGCATGCGTGTGGCGGCACCGGCGCTGACCCAGATCCGGCGTGACAACATTGAACACATGCGCTGTACCTTGTTTACACTTGGGCCCAATAGCGCCATACGTATCCCTTCTAGCCTTAACCGTATTACTCTCTCTTAATTAATAAGACCTTCTTTCATCTTCGGAACACAATTTAAGATATTTTTGATGAAATCTGAGGGCTCTCTGACCCTCCTATAGACAGCAAGGTTACTACCACGATCAAGGCCCAAAATAGTACCAAGATGATCGACAAAGTAGTCCATGTGACATCAGTGGTTCAACTGTAATGTTACGAAGCTACGAGAATATTTTTTGCAAAGAAAACAAAAATAATTACTTTATTCCACATGTTTGTCTCTACTGCGTCATTTGTGGATGCACGTTCATGACCGTACCATGACGCATGCGTGTGGCGGCACCGGCGCTGACCCAGATCCGGCGTGACAACATTGAACACATGCGCTGTACCTTGTTTACACTTGGGCCCAATAGCGCCATACGTATCCCTTCTAGCCTTAACCGTAAACAAAGCATGGTGATAATTATCAAATTATGTGTTTTCATTAAGGATTTCACATAATTTTCCTTATTTTGTATCATTTGGCACAGTTTTAACATTTAATAGAGTTTAAATTTGGTAAAGTAAAATATTTCAAAACAAGCATATTTGGTGCAATGTGCCAAACACTCAACCCACTGGAAAAAAAACTTGGCAATAGTTTAAAAGCAGCCCAATTCCTTGCAAAAACCAGTCTTGGCAACCTTTGAGCATGTACACTTAGGCAGGCTCTTACCAGATTTAGTAGAATGGGAATGCGAGTTTCCCCATCCTCCTCCTTTCCCTGGTTCACTGGATTCCCCCCAACCATCAGACGATTTCCCCCAAGCAGATGTACCGCTGACCACAGAAGGATCTGAGGGACCACTGCTGCGTGCCCATGTTGCAGGAACTGGAATGTGAATGTGTGTTAACGAATGGGATGTTTCTGGTTTGAAACCATTTAACTACTTTAATATGCACTGCTGCCTTCTTACCAGAGTTTTTAGAAAGAGCTCCAGCCTGTCTTCCAGACAACTGCTGTTGGTCTTGTGAGCTGTTGGTCTTCTTATCCCACAGATTGACGGTCCTACTGTTGTAGCGTGACGGATCGCCCCATGCAGATGTGCCATCGTCAATTTCCATTATCCTGCTGATGGACTGTGGCGAGGGTTCCTCCCACCCACTCGGCTCTACAACTGAAGGCACCTGAGGGATGGGCCCACAGGTCCAGCCAGACCCTTTACCTTGGTCGTCGGTGTCTCCTGGACGACCCCGTTCCTGCAAGTCCTTTGGATATACCGCCATTTGCTGCTGGGTTTGCGATTGCTGCTGCGGTTTTTGATTTTGGTTTTTAAGTGCTGCTTGTTTGTTTGGTATCTGTGATGGAAGAAGCTTCTCGCCCCATCCCTGGTGCGGTTTGACACTGCTGCCTCCCCAGCCACCACTCCGCTGTCCCGACTCTTCCGGGCTGCCCCATAACCCTTCATCCTGATTCTTGCGGTCACTGTCTTTCTCTTCTTTCCAGCCTCCACCCTCGGGTAATGGAGTCCACTCACTTCCACCACCCTGGTTCCACCCCGTCCCTTCCCTCCTGCAAGTATCTTCAACCTCCTGGTCTTCTCCCCAACCACTCCCTTTGCAACCAATCCCAATGCTCATGTCTCCGTGCCCGGGCCACCCTTGAGCTCTACCCACCTGGCCAACCTCCTGCTTCTGCATTTTAGAGCTGGAAAGATCCCCAGTGTCCCGCCAGCCCTCCTTACTGCGGTCAGGGTCCACTTCTACATCCCAGGTAACATTCCCACTGTTGCCCTCAAAATCCCAGGCGACATTCTGCTTGATCTGAGTCTTTCCCCATCCTGTGTTGCACAGCACTTTAGGATCCATGTTAGTGTGATTGATCATGCTTTCTAAGGCTTCTTCTGGGTGGAGGGCCTGACTTCTGGAGGGGCTTTGGACCAAATTTGGGGTGTGCATCCCATCCTCATTGCTTTCTCTGCCAGTTGATTTTTCCTCAGACCCATCACAATCATCAACTGCTTTCTGATTGTCATCTCTTGATGCCACGCTGTTTGCAAACATTGAAGAGTCCTGTAAACTATCTGTGCTTACCTCAGAGATCCCTCTCACATCCTCTTTTGATGCTCCAACTGCTAAATCTGAGGTCCATCCTGTAGCTGCCTGTTTGTTTGAAACTACCGTGTCTCGGTCCCACACTCCCTGAAAGATGCCAGTGCCTTCACTTAAACTTCCACCTAGTGCATCAATTCTCTTCCCAACAGGGTCTTCTCCTGTATCCCATAATTCCGTTCTGGAGACTCCACCATCTCCACCACGATTTGGTCCAGCCTGAAGCTCTAACCAATCCCCTGTAATGCACTCTTCGTTCTTGGAGAGTGTCTGGTACACTGCACTGGCTGGACTCAAGGGTGTGGGAGTAGATTCCTCATAAGCAGTGTTGTTTGCGCCATCAGGGTCATCGGGGTTGGAATTTGGTTTTAGACCTTGAGTGTCCTCCTGGTCTCCAGAAAGCATTGACACCTTGGAATTGAAGTGCTGATTGACTTCTTTAATGGATTCTTTATTCTCAGACTGTGAAGATGCACCTCCTACCGCACTGACTTCTGCAAATTCAGATAGTTGAGAAGAAGTGTCCGTTCTTAGGCCATCAGACTCATCCATCCTTGACCTGGCAGAATGTGGGGTCTGATCACTATCCCATGAGTCTTCCGGTCTTGGCCATTTCTCTACATCAGAATTGTCCTTGTCCATTCCCTGAGTGGAGGGTTGACGTCCTGAGCTCAACCCCCATGTGTAATTTGCATAAGTGGGAGTGGCAGAGGCATCTGACGATAAGTGCAGAGAAACAGAAACTACTGTTGGATCTGGAAGAGAAAAATACACCACATCAGAAAAGAATAAAAGCCCCCCCAAAAAAAACTGTGTCCATTAACTTTTTAATTCACCCACCTGAGGCATCAGCTTGCTCCTGCAGGGAAAGCTGGGGTGCAGGGTCCCCTCCGTTTCCGCCTCCCAGCAGCATGCAGGACAGTGGTGGCTGGCCTCTTTTCAGTAGCACTTTTGGTTCCTGTTGGTTGCGGAAGCGCGGGGGCACCTCACAGGGCATATAGCGCTGGGACACCACGGAGGGGGGCTGTCCGTTGGCCACAGCGGCCCACTTTGCATTCTTCCCTCCCTCAGGATGGTCCGTTGAACCCCCGACAATAGGACAGGGGGAGGTTGTTTCGGCGGGACCCGGTCGAGATGAAGCACCGGTAAGGGTGACAATGGATGTGGCAGATGGAGATGAGCCCGATTCTGACAGGAGGACAGCAGTTGAAAAGAAATGCAGTCAATAATACATAGCAATGGACAGCATTTCTTAAAATTACTTCTACATAATGGCAGAAAACTTCACTCTTATTTTCAAACCTACAAAGAATTTTTTTAGTTTCAAACCTTGAACCAACATATCTGAAAGCCAGAAAAGAGATAAAAAAGTAGTGATGCACCAAACTATTGGCACCCAAAAATTTCAGGTGAAACATCATAGAAATAAATTAAAAGAAAATAAATCATTTTTGGCCAAAACTTAACACCATACCAGTGTTAATGTCGTTGACAAATAATTTGTCATAATTTACATCAACAACATTTTTTACACCAACAAAAACGAGACGATAATGAACTTGTTTTGAAAGACAAACACTATGACGAAAATCTATTGACATTTTCGTCAATTAATAAAAATCTTATGATATTTAGTCGACTAAAACTAGACTAAAAATAATTCAGATGACTAAAATATGACTGAAACTAAATGGCATTTTAGTCAAAAGACTATGACTAAAACTAAATCAAAATTTGCTGTCAAAATTAACACTGCACCATACGGAGTTCAATTACCCAAATAACCAAATTTAATTACCAAAAGCTTTTAGTTGTCAGCTAAACAAAAACTTTAATTTCAGTCTTAGTGTTTTAGCAAAATAATTTATTTTGGAGCGTCTCCTAAAAAATATATAAGACTGTGTACTAACCCTAACCAGAAAGAAAAACACAGTATATAAACACTGACTATGAAGGTAATTATTACCATTCTATTTACAACAGAATTATAATTCTATTACACTATAATTTGCATTCAATTTGCATAAGTTGGCTACATACAAGTAATATATTGTAATAAATATTTATACAGATATTAAAGAAAATAACAGATTTTTCACAAATGGTCTTCAAAACTGTTTATGTGAAGCAGCTTAATATGGGCATTACTAGCTGGGGGAAAAAAATCACTTTTTCAAATGATGAACCTCTTAAAGATTCTTCTCAGGCACGGCACCTGAGAAGAACCTGTAAGATGTTTATCATGAGATGTTTAAATCAAGACTTCTTATGCAAACAAGCATACATGAAACACTGGCGTACACAAATGTGAATTACTCACACATACAACCACTGAAAGTACTATGCAAGTATATGTAAGAAGACTGTGTCGGGATGAATGGGGTTGAAGGTCCAATTTGCAGTTTCAATGCAGCTTCAAAGGGCTCTACACTATCCCAGCCAAAGAATGAGGGTCTTATGGATCGGTCATTTTCTAAAAATAAATTAAATGTATATACTTTTTAAACCACAAACGCTTGTTTTGCACTAGTTCAACTTCACAAATTCACATGTGACGTAGGCGGAAGTACCGACCCAGTGTTTACAAAGCAAACATGCAAAGAAAGTCAAATGCCCTTTTACAAAAAAATCAATTACCCAAATAACCAAATTTAATTACCAAAAGCTTTTAGTTGTCAGCTAAACAAAAACTTTAATTTCAGTCTTAGTGTTTTAGCAAAATAATTTATTTTGGAGCATCTCCTAAAAAAATATAAGACTGTGTACTAACCCTAACCAGAAAGAAAAACACAATATATAAACACTGACTATGAAGGTAATTATTACAATTCTATTTACAACAGAATTATAATTCTATTACACTATAATTTGCATTCAATTTGCATAAGTTGGCTACATACAAGTAATATATTGTAATACATATTTATACAGATATTAAAGAAAATAACAGATTTTTCACAAATGGTCTTCAAAACTGTTTATGTGAAGCAGCTTAATATGGGCATTACTAGCTGGGGGAAAAAAATCACTTTTTCAAATGATGAACCTCTTAAAAGATTCTTCTCAGGCACGGCACCTGAGAAGAACCTGTAAGATGTTTATCATGAGATGTTTAAATCAAGACTTCTTATGCAAACAAGCATACATGAAACACTGACGTACACAAATGTGAATTACTCACACATACAACCACTGAAAGTACTATGCAAGTATATGTAAGAAGACTGTGTCGGGATGAATGGGGTTGAAGGTCCAATTTGCAGTTTCAATGCAGCTTCAAAGGGCTCTACACTATCCCAGCCAAAGAATGAGGGTCTTATGGATCGGTCATTTTCTAAAAATAAATTAAATGTATATACTTTTTAAACCACAAACGCTTGTTTTGCACTAGTTCAACTTCACAAATTCACATGTGACGTAGGCGGAAGTACCGACCCAGTGTTTACAAAGCAAACATGCAAAGAAAGTCAAATGCCCTTTTACAAAAAAAAAGGTAAAACAACAATGTCGGATGATTTTGAAATTGGAGGAGAAAATGAGATGGAGTTTTTCGCCCTACCCGACCTTTAAGAACCGAAGTACACAGACAAAGAACTAACCGTGCATGTCCTTTCCAACGTGAAAGTGTAATGCGTGAAGACGCACATGCACATCTAGTTCTCCTTGGCCCCCCGACTGAGCTTGGTTTCTCCCAAGGTTTTTTTCTCCATTCTGTCACCGATGGAGTTTTGGTTCCTTGCCGCTGTCGCCTCTGGTCTGCTTAGTTGGGGACACTTCATTTCCAGCGATATCGTCGACTTGACTGCACAGATAGTATTTAAACTGAACTGAGCTGGATGATAACATCACTGAATTGAATGATGAACTGCCTTTAACTGAAAATTGAGTGTTTACTATTGTCATTTTGCATTATTGACACACTATTTTCCTATTTAATACTGTAAAGTTGCTTTGACACAATCTGTATTGCTAAAAGCACTATATAAATAAAGGTGACTTGACATGCGCATCACAGAGCTAGTGCAAAATGAGCATTTGTGGTTAAAAAGTATAAAAAAATTATTTTAGAAAATTGACAATCGTTTCGCTAGATAAGACCCCTATTCATTGGCTGGGATCATGTAGAGCCCTTCGAAAGCTGCATTGAAACTGCAATTTGGATCTTCAACCCGTTAGTCCCGTTGAAGTCCACTATATGGAGAAAAATCCTGGAATCTTTTCCTCAAAAAGAAAAAGAAATGAACATCTTGAATGACATGGAGGTGAGTAAATCAGATTTTATTTTTATTCTGGAAGTGAACTAATATTTTAAATTGATCAAATTATTATATTTCTATATATTATATATACATATATATGCATTAAATTTATCAAAAGTCACAGTAAAGAAGACATTAATGATGTTATAAAAGACTTCTATTTCAAAGATACAGTTTCTTAACTTCCTATTCATTAAAGATCCAAAAATATATATATGTGCATCAAGTTTTCCACAAAAATAAAAGTGTTTTCAACACTGATAATAATGAGAAATATTTCTTGAGCAGCAAATCAGCATATTAGAATGATTTCTGAAGGACCATGTGACACTGAAGACTGGAGTAATGATGCTTTAAATCACAGGAATAAATTACACGTTACTATATCGTCACATAGAAAAGAGTTCTTTTAAACTGTACAAATATTTCACAATATTAGTTTTTATTATACTTTTCATCAAATGAATGCGGCCTTGGAGAGCAGAAGAGACTTCAAAAACATTAAAAATCATACGGACCACAAAAACTTTGAACGATGGTGTACATGCGTGACTATTTCACAATTGAGTATTAAAAAGCTAATTGTAAATTACCAACCTTTAGTGCTGTCTTCAGTGCCCTGTAATTAAAAAAAAATTGCTCATTAGATGATTGTACATTCGTATACAGCTAATGTATGTTTTCTTGAGTGTATACAGTGTTATCCCGCAAAAGCATTGCCCACCTCCTGATGGCTGCGGTCTCAGGTGTAATAATAAATAGTGACTCTTTTAAAATTCTTAATATGTTTATTAATAAAGATGTAAGCGTGTCACAGACGGCTGTCATACAAACATTTGATCATTTAATGTGGACGCTGCTGACGGACCAGCAGAGGGCGCTGTGATTTCCGCACCAACGCCTACTTATGCACTAAAGCAATGGTTCCCAACCCTGGTCCTTGAGGCACCCCAACACTGCACATTTTGCATGTCTCCTTAATCAAACACACCTGATTCAGGTCATCAGCTCATTAGTTGAGACTTCAAGACCTGAAATTGGTGTGTCAGAGAAAGGAGACATGCAAAATGTGCAGTGCTGGGGTGCCTCCAGGACCAGGGTTGGGAACCACTGCACTAAAGTATGTTCTTCATTTGTGAAAAAATCTAACAAATGCTGTTCTTCTGAACTATATATTCGTCAAAGTATCACGGTTTTTACAAAAGTATAGAACTGTTTTCAACATTAATAATATACATTTAATATATTAATTAATATATTGTTATGAGTGTGAGCAGGCCTTTACATGTTTGAGAATGTGTCGCTATATTTACATAAAATACATTTTAAGCATTACATTTACACGTTACATTTTAAAGCTATTAGATGGAGTAATAGACCTAAACAAACAGCAATTAATTTCAGATTGGGAACTATAAGTTAAAGGGATAGTTCACCCAAAACGAAAATGTGATGTTTATCTGCTTACCCCCAGGGCATCCAAGATGTAGGTGACATTGTTTCTTCAGTAGAACACAAACGAAGATTTTTAACTCAAACCGTTGCAGTCTATCAGTCTTATAACGGCAGTCAATGGGCTCCATGGCTTTGAGAGTAAAAAAAAAACATACACAGACAAAACCAAATTGTGATGACTGTAAGAAAGTGGGCTTTGAAGTGAGCAGAAGCGTCCTGCTGTTTGTTTTCTGCTGATGGAATTGCCAACTAAATTGAGAATAGATTTAGAAGCAGCTTTGCAAAACATTTTTTAAGAGTGTAAGCAGGGGCACAACTGCACATTTGCTGAGGAGTATGCAAGATCAGTGTTGGCGCCGCCCTGTATTCTAGCCGCTAATACGAACTCCCACAGAAAACTTTCTGAAAGTTAATGACCAAAAGCCCATTAACTAGCTTGGGCATGGAAGGATACAAACTCATCAGGGGTGAAAAAAGTGACAAAGGTATGAACCCCCTCCCCCATTTTCAATACCATAGAAAAAAGGTGAAAAGTGAAAAGAAAAAAGAAAAGTGTGTTGTAACATTCCCTTTAACTCCTGAGAACAGAATGGTTCTGTGTCTGGCCTGTGTGACATAAAATGTTGGATGGACATGAACTTCTTACAGCTAAACAACGACAAAACCGAAATTGTTATCTTTGCCCCAACCGAGATTTGACCTCTGACATAGTTAATCAGCTTGGTTCTCCATCTTCAAATGTTCATGACTGTGTCAAAAAACTTGGTGTCATATTTGATTCCAATCTGAGTTTCGATAAGCAGATTAGTGCTATTGTTAAAAGTAGTTTCTTTCAGCTAAGATCTATTGCCAAAATCAAGATGATGCTTTCTAAGAAAGACCTTGAAACTGTTATTCATGCATTTATCACCTCAAAGTTGGATTATTGCAACTCTTTATACCTGGGTTTGCCTAATTCACCTGTAAATCGTTTGCTGATGGTTCAAAACGCAGCAATCAGGTTATTGACTGGCACTAAAAAGTGTCAGCACATTACTCCTGTGCTTGCCTCTCTCCACTGGTTACCAATTGAGGCCTGGATTGATTTTGAAATTTTGCTTTTTGTTTATAAAGCTTTACATGGACTTGCCCCTCAGTATATCAAGGATCAATGCCTCAAGATCCTTACGTTCTTCCAATCATATTCTTCTTTCTGCTCCTCGCTCACGTTACAAACTAAAGGTGACCGGGCTTTCTCGGTGGCTGCTCACAGACTTTGGAACAGTCTCCCTCTCAATAGTAGAACTTCCTTTTCTGTTTCTTTTATGACATTTTCCCTAAAAACATATCTGTATTCTTTATGTTTTAATTGAGGGTGTTTATATTTTTACATTTGTCTCCAAGGTTTTGATCCAGTGTGTTAATTTTGTTTTAATTTTGTTTTAATTTAGTTTTAATATCCCTGTACAGCACTTTGGTTGCAACTTCTGTTGTTTTGAAATGTGCTTTATAAATTAATAAACTAAACTAAACTAAGCTGATGGCTTATTTATTAAATTTACGGTAAAAAAACGGCAGCTGTGGTTGCCGGAATTTTACCGTAAAAAATATGGTAGCAACGTTTTAGGTTTTAACTTAAATTTACAGTTAAATACCGTAATTTCATTAACTGATATAATGTTAATATACCAACCTATTGAAGTACATTACTGTTTTGTACCTTTGTAATACACTGATAACCACCAAATGCAGGTGGTGATGAGAAAGTCACACGATGACCCAAAGCCCATCACAAGCAGCTTTTAAATAATATCATATATAGAAGGTGCACAGTGTCATTCACACAAACACCAAACACCATCATGTTAACACACATGAAACTGAAATAATGCAATAAACATTCATTTAACAACATTAGGTGTAACACACAACCCTAATATACAAAACTGATAAGAAAAAACTAAGAAGAAACATAGTTATTTCAACAAAACAATATCAACTTTAAAATGTAACGCAGGGAATTCTGAGAATGTCAATTTATGGTTAATCACTGTAAATTATACGGTATTTTTCACTTCCAAAAACGGTATACTACCGTAAAATT